TTTCTCATTGTAAGGAAGACTTAATTATGGAGAAGAGCATATCGCTAAGATGCAATAAAATGGGGCTATTGTTGAGGCAACAGATTCAAAGATGACGCGCCTATCTATTTCAAATGTTTCACACTAATTGTAGAATCTAAATCCAAATCAAAAGTTGAACCTGTCTACTATAAATTTCAGAAAACTGTTCCTTTAACAACGAACTCTTATCAGCGCAATAGTTCTAAATAGTGTGATGTCTATGTTAAACAACTTCCTTCATTTTGTTACCGCATCCTATTTTTTCACCTCGCAGTACCCAAATCTGTTTTTCTTCGTGTGCACCGAAATGAGCGTTTGGTATGAAATTTTGTTTTCAGTAGTGTATCTGTGAAGTAAAAGTAGTTCAATTAGAAAAACTAGTACTTTCCTTTGTCGTCAAACTAGCATTTTCTATTTATAAAGCACCTAGACCATATGATTATGATGCATCCGAGCTGTAAATCGGAGTAAATGAGCGCCGATGTTGATAGTCAAGGAAACATTTCTGAAGTCCTGGTGCTGGACAGTGGACTGAGTCACCCACGTCTAACCACTGCCGTTTATAGTGTCTTCGTTTCTCGTTCTGTACACATGGCGTTCACTTGCACCATTTGCTTTACATTTTTCTACTTTCATCATCATTGAATGCAGTATTCTACCCCTCTCGTGTCCTTGTGAACTGCATGTTGTTTTCGTGGGCATGGGGCAGTGGTGTTCCTTAACAGTTTCAAAGATTTGTGGTAGACGGTGGTGACTCAGCTGGCGCCATTGCAGCTCTGGCGGCATCGCGTCTACGCATTGAGCTCGCCATTTTAGCTGCCAAATTGGCAACTCGCCAAGCTGACGTCGACTCGTTGTTCCGTGCTAACGCCGAATTGGCCCACACCAACGTACGTCTACAGAATGAAATCGATGAATACGAGGAGAAAATAGAGTCAAATAACGATGGAGATGCAACGCGGCAAGTAGAAGAATTACAGGTTGGCGTTGACAGTACACGTAAAGTTGATGATTGCTCTGGATCAAAGTGTTGTTTCAAGACGGAATTGTCACGATCGCGAACTGCTGAAGCTTCGCTACGACAGCAGTTGGAGGAGCTTCGAACTCGCCTTCAAGAGGCTGAAGCAAAGTTGGAGGAGTATGCGACTCGTTTTGAAGAAGAGCAACCGCAGCCGGCGAACGAGCATGAGGTCAGTACAAAAACTGGCAGTTTGTTCAAACAACTGATCTTCTAAAAATTTTGTTGCTCATGTACAAATAAAAAGCACATCATAAATAGTCGGCAAACCTGTTCCATACTCGCAGAATAAAGACAAATCGAGAGCACAAAAGTAGCAAAACTTTCTAGATTTTAGGCCACTTAATCTTTATATCACTTATCATCAGATCATATCTATGGTGAATTTGTTATTGGTCTACATTGATAAGCTTGAGCGCTAAGGGCATGATTAGGCTATTCTATATTTTCTTTCTCGCCCTTTCTAGTTTAATAATTCGAAAATTTAGGAAGAAATCATGACAGAGGAACCGGCTAAAGTATCACCCACATCAAGTTTGGAGGAGGCTGTGAAGGAAACAGTTGACTTACGCGATGAGGTCATTTACATTAGATTTGCTATCGAGCTTTCTATTTTTCTGTCAAGGTTATTGGATGTGGTTTTCATGCTTAAAGCTGATGCTTTACAATTACAGGTCATAAGGCTGGAGAGTGTAGAGAAAATGCTCAACGAGAGAATAATGTGCCTTGAGGATCAGCTGTTAGAGGGAGAAGAGCGTCTCCAAGAAATGGAAGAGGAGCTCATGGATGAGAAGAAGAAGATTCAATCTTTGGAAGCAGATAAGAACACGCTTACAAATCAGCTGGAACAGATTGGTAGTGGAAGTAAG